CTCATACTTTCAAAATGTAGCTCAAATTTGACCCACTCTGGAAGTCTCTGACCTCCTCAGGCAGAACTAGCCCCCTCTTCTTTGGGTTCTTCTATTCCTTGGACCTATTATCACCTCTACTACCCCTACTCAACTCTGAGTAGGGGTAGTAGAGGTGATAAAAAGTTTAAAAAGTTGGGTCCTGGTGCTATTTTTTCTGTATCCCTAAGACCTACCATAAAAGGGATTCTCAAAATATGACCATTGATTGCATGAATTCTGTTACTAGCATAACCTTAACAATCTTCAAAGAGGAGCAAACTTCCCTCAAAAGAATCCCCCCAGGTAATGAAAATACAAACCCTCATTTGTTCAAAATCATGGTGCAAACAAAAGAGGAAAAGGAAGCGATAAAGTCTGAGTTAAAAATAAGGGAAAGTAACAGTAGCCAAAGGGTGGGGGGGGGTGGTTGGAGGAGAACCATGTTTACTAACTAAGGAAAGGATAAACAAAACATGGTATAGACATACAATGGGACACAATTCATTCATAACAAGGAATGAAGTGCCGCTACATGGATGAACCTTGAGAACATTATGCTAAGTGAAATAAGCCAATGCAAAAGGACAAATATTGTTTAATTTCACTTATTATATTAGATAGATATGGATTGAGAATTTCATAGAGGCAGAAAATAGAATAGAGGCTATCAGAATTTGGGGTAAGCAGGAATAGGGAGTCAGTGTTAAATGAATACAAGGGTTCTGTGGGATGATGACAAAGTTCTGGAAATAATAAAAGTAAAGTACATTCATTATGTTATGAATTTACTTAAATGCCACAGAATTATGCATTCAAAAATGGTTAAAACAGCAGCTGGAGTTGTGGCTCAGTGGCAAAGGGCTTGCCTAGCATGTGTGAGGCACTGGGTTCGATTCTCAGCACTGCATATGAATAAAAAATAAAGATCCATTTGGAACTACAAAAATAAAATAAAATGCCTTAAAAATGGTTAAAACAATATTTTTCTGTTATATATGCCATTTTTTTTTAAAGAAAGGCAGGCTCTCTTACTCTCTAGATCAAGAATTTGGATATGCAAATTTATCTGGAATATTCTAATGAATTCACATTTGTAAGGAGAATGAATGGCTGAAGTTATGTTCGGGCATTCCAAGGATATACTATAGTGGATAATAACACCTTTGGGGTCCAATGCTTGGAATTAAATCCTGATTCAAGCATTTAATAGTTGTGACACTGGGCAAGTGATCTAACCTCATCCGTAAAATGGTGGTGATGATAGTACTTGCCTCACAGGGTTGTCCTGAGGATAAAATCAAAGTATGTACATAATAAAGAGTTCAACACAGTACCTGGAACACAGTGAAGAATGGATTATTATTATTCAATTTATCAACTTTCAGCAAGGCTTCTCAACCTCTACGCTCTTGACATTTGGGGCAGGAGATAATGCACTGTGGTAGGAGTGGGGGACCATATGTGCATTGTAGAATGTTTAGTAGAATCTTTGCCCTCTACCCAGAGATACCAGGAGTGCCCCTCACAAACACACACCTCACACCCTGATTTAAAAAAACCAAAAATTGTACTGGGAACCTGCCAAAGACCCCTGAAGGACAAAACTGCCCTTGAACCCAGGCTGAAGGTTGAAGGCTTCCAATTTAGAACAATGCACTGCTGTTGATGAAATAAGACTGAATTCTGAAGCCTTAAGAAAATTAGATGAATTCTCATGAAATGCAACAAAGAATAGTGGGTTCCATGTTTATTGTTCTGGTTTAGTACCATCAACTACAGCCAAGTTCAGATCTTTTTTAAGTCTTAATCACTGTGAATATTCTCCCCTAAAGATATCAAAAGGAAAGGCAGGGAAAATCAAGAGTACAGCACAGTACACATAAGAGTACAGCAAAGTCACTATCAAATACAAAAAGCAGACCAATTTCAATATCAGGGTCTGATTCCTTTAGAAGAGTACACCTAATATTTCACTTGAGCCCTAGCACCAATATAGCAGAGACTGTTAGCTGTCTAACCAAATCCATTTCTTCCCTCTAGACAAGTGGCTATTATCATACTTCCCAACCTCTTTTGCTGGTATCCTTTGCTATGTGATTATGAACTTTGCCAATGGAGCGTAAGTGGGGGTTATGGGGACCATTTCCAGGATGAAGCCTTTAAGTCAACAGCAGTGACAAGCCATCTTTATGCTCTTGTCACAAGAACCTGGATATCCAGCTTTGGTCATGGATATCATGACAGGGCCCTGGCAAAGCCACATGAAAGAAGGAGCCTATGTCCCCGAATAACCCCATGTAGGAGAGCTGCCACTAACCTGGACACCCTCCTTAGAATGTAATGAGGATAAGAAATCAACTTTAGTTCTTCAGGCCACCAAATGGGGAAAAAAAGGTGTTTATTCCTTATAGTAACTTAGCTCACCCTGACCAATGTGACTAGTTGAACATTCCTAATGCAAAAATTTGAAATTCAAAATGTTCCAAAATCTGAAATCCTTTGAGCACCACCTTGATCCCTCAAATGGAAAACTCTACTCCTGAATTCATTTGATATATCATAGTTAAAATGCAAGTGCACTAACATATTGTATAAAATTACTTACAGACTATGCATATAAGGTATATATGGAACATATATGTCATCTTTAGTCTTGGGTTCCTGCCCCAAGATATCTCATTGTATATGTAAATATTTCAAAATCTGAAAAAAAAAATCCAGAATCTAAAATACTTCTTGGTCCAAGTATTTCAGATAAGAAATATTTAACATATATTTTGTAATTTCTTAGGAACCAAAATAGCCCAAGAATAGATATTTAAAATAACAAGAAAAAACTGACTTTAGCAAGTTGATACAATCATAAATCATTCGACTTTAGAAATCCAGACTATATGATAACTCAAAGAGTGCCACATTTTACCTTTATACTAAGAAAAGTTTTAAAATATATAAATAAAGAGTAAATAAGATTGTTGGGAATCTCTCTTAGTCTGGGGCACTGCCTGTATCTTCCAGCCATCCTTTGCTGCCCCTGGTCCACATTTTCAGCGTCTTCACCCTGGCTACTTCCTACTCAGTCTCCTCGCTTGGTGTCTCCCTTTTCAAGTTCTCCTGAAATACAAGTTCTCCTGCTCTCCAAGCTGCTGACTCCTAGCTCTTACCAGCATGTTCTGCTCCTACTCAGAAATCTTCAGTTGCTTCTTAATATTTAGGAAGACATTCTCAATTCCTTGTTTAGATACAATGTATCCCACAACCAGCTCTCAGCACTTCTTTGCTCACCATGTTCTACTAGAAAGACAGATCTATCTACTGTCCAAGGAGCAGGAAGGACCATTTGCTGTCCATCTCAGATTCATGTCATTAAACAACAACCAAGTATGCTGAAGCTTGTTTAAAGTCAAAAAGGCGGGAGAACTCCAGACAATCTCCTGACCACTCCAAGCTCCAGTAATTTCTCCTACCTTTAAAAATCAAAAAGTTACTTTCTTCTGATCCTGGGGCACTGCTTACATATTACAAAAAAGATTTCCATCATCCGTATCCTGAGAGGGGAAAATAATGGAATCCATTTATGGTTGTTAATTTTGCATTTCTTGGTTCTCTCCATAAGAAAATGGTGATGTACCACTCTGGTTTATTTCCTTTCCTAGCTGCTAGCACATGATTAACTACATACTAGGTGATATTTATCAAGTTGTTTATCTAGTAAGCAACAAGAATGCCAACTATATCTCTCCCTAACAGAAATAAAACAAAATTTAAAACATTTTCTATAATTAATAATTATGCTTGAGTCTCCTCTCCTATAAGTTAGACCCCTGATGGAATTTTTTCCTTCTTATATTTATCAATTAAATATAACTGATATTACCAAGGAAACAGATGAACAGATTCACAGGGCCTACCACTGGGAAGGGGTGCACAGCCTCCATGTCCTTTCCAGGAACACCCCACTCTAGAAGTCCCATGTGTTCAGCTATGTGGAAGTTCCCACTGAAATGGTTTGACTAGTATTCACTGTAATAGCCCTCAAATTTTTCTTCAAAAGAAATAAATGTGTATATATCCTCAAATAAAAATACATATTTCATTTTATTATATTCCATTATTGAGTTTAGTGAAAGGTTGTTTTATTAAATAATCTGAGTTTTAAAAGATCACGTGACTTATTAGTATTTATTAACTTAAAAGAAACTTCTCTCTCACTTCACTGACTTTTTTAAATCACATTTTACATAGTATAAAATAATATCTAATTAATTTTGATATAATTTTGATCCTTAAAAACTACTAGTGCTTTACTAACATGCTCATTTAGGTTATCAAAAACTATCTTTTGTTCTCCATCATATCCTTAACCAAATACCCTCAATCAAATATCCTGAATCAAATAAACTAGTACAAGCACACATATAAAAGAAACACAATTTATAATATTTATAAAGCACTCACAATATGGCAAAGGCTTCCTTCCCATTTTGGATATCTCATTTAATTCTTCCAACAAATCAAGAAGTACTATGATTATCTCTTTTCTTTTTTAACAGATGCAAAATTTACGAGTCAAAGAGGTCAAACTTGTTCAAGGTTATATAGCCAACAAGTAGCAGAACTGGGACTCCAATGTAGGCCTGACCTGTCTTAATTACACTGCTATAACAATATCTGTAGAGTTTTTGTGAACCATTTCCAAAATTGACAGGGAAATGTAGGGAGGGTTTCCAAAAAACTGAGAATGGAAACTTGTAAAGATGGATATTAAAATAATTTGGTGGTAAGAGTCAATGCAACACTTTTCCAAGGATGCGTCTTACAAAAATTTATAAAACAGGATCTCACTTGCTACTATAAAAATCTGTGTCCTCTTAGTAGGCACCAGATAATTTGAAAACTCCTCTCCTGCCTTTTGAGTGCACCCAAGTCAGACACATTTATCAAGTGGCATCTGAAGATTTCATCATTTTGTTGGAATTCCAAGGAACATTGTTATTTAAAAACACTTTTTTTTTTTTAAGCAATGTAATCTGTTCTTTGCAACTGTTTTAGAAAAATGACTAGAACTAGAAATGGCCCAAACATCTACTATCATAGATATTATTTTTATTCTATTTATGGTGTTCTCAACAACTCCTCCCCAAATTGTGATACACACATCATCAAAACAACATCGATGACAACCTAATGACACCCCTCCCATAATTTGGATAACACTGTGTTGTTTTCTTTCCAGAACGGAATGGGGGAATAATGGAACATCAACGCCGGAGGAACAGCAGGCAAGGGAGCTAGTTTATTTTGTTCTGGATTTTGTGACATTAAGAAAACATGAAATTGCAACCATCATCAGTTATACTGGAATCTTCATCCCCCCCGCCCCCCAACGAAAACCCAATTTGTCTTTCACTTGTTCTCACTTGTTTAGGATATGTCTCATGCGGACATATCCTAAAGAGGGAGGAACCCAATAAATTCTGACCAACACCGGCTCAGTGGAATTGCACGAAGGGTACCGGAAATAGAGCAGAATTAGCAGAGGTGGGGAAGGCGCTTCCAAAGGAGGCGGGGACCTAGAGGGGAACGCGAGGTGGAGGCCTGGACAGCTATCCGCCAAGGGCGAGAGCTCCGGCCGCTAGTGGCAACTCTGGTTTGTGCATCAGCCACTGCGGGTCGCGGTCTTACCTCGCAGCCCTCGAAAAAGCCTCTCAGCCCAGGCCACGCGGGGCGGCTGCCCGTCCAGGGGGAGGTGGCGATGCAGTGGGTCCCCGCCGCCGACCGGGCTAGGGCACGGCGGACCCTGGTCCTCTCGTCTGCGCCGCCTCCCGTTCGGGTGGCCAGATCCGTGGTAGCTACTCAGCCCCCGGCCGCGGGCGCCCACAGAGCTCACAGTGGAGGAGACTGCTGACCTGCGGCTGCCCGGGCGCCACTCCACGTCCATCTCCACCACCATTCCCCCTTCTTCCCCTTCCACCTCCTCTTCGTCGTCGTCTTCCTCAGCCTCGAAGCCCGGGTTATCGCGGCTCCACGCCTGCCTGGAGCAGGACGAGAGCGGAGGAGAAGGGGAGGCCGAGGCTCCCGCTGGAGGGTCCCGCGCGGCAGCCTGCCGGATGCGCTCCATCTCGATCTCCAGGCCCCGCTGCTCCCGGAGGCCGCCCGGGGCTGCGAGGCCCGCGCCGCCCGCCATCAGCCGGCCCGGGCCGGGAGCTCGGGGCGGGGGCTGCCGCTTCACGTCCCCGGGCTGCTGCGGCTGGACGCGGCTGGAGTTCACCATCGTGGTCACTGGCGCCCGGCGCGCGTTTGCGCTGCGCCGCCCTCGGTGCTGCCCGCCGCAGGAGCCATGTTCTTTTCTTCCCGGGGCCGCCGCCGCCCGCTCCCCGCCCCCGACCGCCCCGCAGTCCCGCGTCCCTCGCCCGCCCCCTCGGCCCGCCTCCCCTAGCCTCTCGCCTCGCCTAGCCCAGAAGCCGTGGCGCGCTGCTTGGGGAGGCGCGAGGAGATTTCCCCCACGGCCGGCGCGCGCCCTGCTGAGCCCCGGCCCGCGTTCCAAGTGGAGTCGGAGATGAAGCCCCGGCGGGCGCCCATGTTCCATTCGGGTAGAGGCTCAGTTAAGGGAGGGAGTAGCTGATCCGCCCGACTGCGGGGAGACCTCCAAATAATGGTGCTGTTTAACTGCTAGCCACTATTGCCTTGATTTATTGAAGCGTTTAACACAAACACCCAGAGAGAGAAATATCGAAATTCTTTGGTAGGATGCCGTGAATTAGTAAAATCCAGCTAAAGCTGAAGTCTCAGCAGGAGCAAAGAAAACTTTCCCTCTTTTGGAGACCACCAGCATACTACTAAGACTGACTTGCTTTGCATTCTGCCACTTTTCTCTCCCTGATTTTTGCTGTTTGGTGGTTTCTTCAGTCTTTAGTTGGCTTCTCCACACATTGTGGGGATCCCAAGGATTGGGGCTTGGATCTCAGATCACTAGTGCTTCCAAGGTGATTTTATTTCTCCCCTTAGCCAGCACTAGCCTCTGAGTAACAGAATCCTACATTAGGCCCGAAGTCTAGAAATTTATTTCTGTTCAGCTCACACAGCTGACACAGCTTACTGGACGTTCAAACTCAATCTACCCCAAATTGAACTTTAAATCCTTTCTCCACTTCTAAAACTGCTTCGCCCACACTCTCAGTTGAAGATCTATGCATCAGCACTGCCTTCCTGACTTCCCAAGCTACTTTTCTACATGATACTTTTATCTGACTGCTCTTCACCTCCTGCACCTCTTGTTCTCTGAATCTTGTTATTTCTGCCCCCAAATGTCTCTCTGATGAAATTTCTGCTTTTCATTCCCACTAGCCTTGTTTTACATCTTGTTATTCTACATTGGGGCAAATGACCTCCCTTCAATTCCACCTCTTTTCTCCTTGTCAGTGTTCCACTGTTTCCAAATTATTACAGAATCAAAGCTGCTAATTTATCATATTGATGCTTAGACATCTCTGTGGGCTTCCAGCAGTTTAAATAACATTTAATTTCTGTAGTTTGCTTTAGTAAATGTTCATGGTCTGCTCCTGTATTACTTTGCTAACACAGAGCTACCATAACAAACTACCAAGGTCAGGGTGGAACAATGGAAATTTATTTTCTTTCAAGATGTTGGTGTGAAAATGGCTCATCTTTTCTCTGTGTCATTACTTGGTCTTCTCTCTAATCTTCTTTTCCTACAAGGACACCAGTCATATTGGATTAGGAACTTCCCTAATAAGTTCACTTAAAGCCTATCTCCAAGTGTACCCATATTCTGAAATTCTAGAGTTAGACCTTCAATGTTTCAATTAATGGGAGGACACAATTCAGCTGGTTACAGCCTCTAAGGTACTTTTCTAGTATGGTTTCCCATTCTGTACATCTGTCTATTCAGTATTATTTGTTGGTTCCTATGCACTCATACTTGCTGATCATATTTAGATAGTTATGGCTACCCATCACCTGATCTAGGTGTCTGTGTCCTTCTCCTGATTGTAAGCTTCTCAAAGGCAGGACTGGTGACTGGTCCAGAGCACAAGCCTGACTCCTGCTATTCATCAGTTCCTTCTGTAGATAAGACATTTCCTGTGTTCTAAGTAAGGATCTAAGCACATTAAACAGAGTGTGATATAGTTCTTGGCTTCCAGAAGAGACACATTAACCAAAACCAAAAACAGAGATTTCCATCCTAAACAGATTTTATGAATCCTGTCATTCAAGAGGCTTCTAAAGATGGAGTGCCCTGAGCAGCAGCACCTGTACTGCATTGTTAATTCAGTTTTGAATTAAGAGATAAGAGGAGAGCTGGGTGCAGTGGCACATGCCTGTAATCCCAGAGGCTCTGGAGGCTGAGGTAGAAGGATGGCAAATTCAAAGCCAGCCTCAGCAATGGCGAGGGGCTAAGCAACTCAGTGAGACCCTGTCTCTGAATAAAATATAAAATAGGGCTGGGGGTGTGGCTCAGTGGTTGAGTGCCCCTGAGTTCAATTCCAGGTACCAAAAAAAAAAAAAAGAGGAGAGCCAGGAATGAAAAGAGATAACAAGATCTAGTGCAGTGTTTTTTAAATATGACTTGGACTTCCAGTATCACTTGAAGGATTTGTTAAACATATAAATTCCAAGTCCACACTCCAACTTCATTGGTTCAGAAACTCCATGACCTCAGTCCTGAAATTATAAATCTTCTGAATTCTGGAGCACCCTAAGTTTGAGAAGCAACAGTATGTTCCAAATGGAAAGGCTTTCATAATTGTTTTTTCCATTGTCCTATGCTTCATTATTACCATCGATGCTATCACCTAGAATCCCAGTGTTGGAAGAAACTTCAGTGGTTTTTAAGTCAGTCTGAATCTTTGGTTTGTGACTGCAGTGCTCTACCCAGAAGGCAGACTGCCTGCGTTTATGTATTGCTCTCTACTTCTGAGCTGTGTTACCATGGACAAGTTATCTCACTTGACTGTGTCTGTAAAAATGGAAATGATGAGAATGCACATTTCATAGTGTTGTGTGGATTAGGTGAATTAATACACATAAGTATCTTAGTCCTTCTGGTGTAGGATGCTACAATAAAATTACCAAACATGAGTGGCTTATTACAGTTCTAGCAGCTGGGAAGTCTAAGATAGTGGTGCCAGCAGGTTTGGTGTCTGGTGAAGGTTCAGTTTCTGATTCGGAGGGAACCTTCTAGCTGTAGACTTGTAAGGTGAAAGGGAAAAAAGAACTCTGTTATGGTTTGGATCTTTAATGTCCTCCAGAGGCTTATGGAGTGTTAACAGTTTGGTTGTCAGCCTGTGGCCCTGGTGGGAGGCAGCTTTCTGCATTGAGGCCTAGAGTGAGGTAGTTACGTTGTTTGGGACATAGCCTTGAAGGGAATGTTGGAACCACGTCCTTCCCTCTCTTTCTTTGTTTCTTGGCTTCCATGAAGTCAGCAGGTTTGCTCCACCACACACTTTTGGTCATAATGGTCTCCCTTACCACAGGTCCAATGGCAATAGAGCCAATCAGCCATGGACTGAAACATCTGTTAGCAAAAATAACTTATTCTTCTTTTAACTTTATTTATCTCAGGAATTTGTCACAGCAATAAAAAACTGACTAACACAGCCCCTTTGGACCTTTTAAAATAAGGGCAGTAATCCTTTTTATAAGGGCCTCATTCCCACAACCTTATCATCTCTCAAAGACACCATTGCATAATAGCATCTCTATGTGGGTTTGGATTTCAGTATACAAATTTAAGAAAACATTAACATTCAGACTAGAGCATTAAGGCATGTGGAACACTGTCTGGCATTGGTAAATGCTAGCAGTGCTAGGGTTGTATTAGCTTGTCTATCTTCAATAATTATTTTCAACTGCTATAATTGCTTATTTGGTCATCTTTGTCCCAATTGGACTGTGACCTTCTTGAGCACAGGGGCTCCATGCCAAGCACAGGATTTTATAGGAAACACTTACTGAGTACCACTATGTACCAAGCCCAACACTATGAGCAAGAGAATAATCAAGAAAATAGGCTAAAAGCCTGGCCCTTACAGGGGAGGACTTACATTCCTTGGGTATTTTCTGAGTGAATGAATGAATCTAGTCAGGTAGAGGGTCTGCAGTCTAGTGACACAAGGAAGAGAGAAGTGATAGGAAAATAATCATATCCCGGGGCAGTAGATTGAGCAAATTACTTCAATTTTTATCTATATATTGGGTTTAAATTTCATACTTTTACTACGCATATAAAAACATTATTTGATTTAGGAGGATCAGAACAAAAATACTATTTAGATAGATCCTTTGGGGAATTATATTCTCATTTGAGAGACACACAAGAAGGGGTTCAGAGAAGAGATTACCAGGCTGAAGTGGGAGGGAAGGTACTAGGGCCAGATCAAATTTTGTTATGCAGTAAATATTAATAGGTCTGGGTTTTTAACAGTGTAAATTATTTAAAAGAAAATCAGAAACATTCTTCCTGATTCTATTACATCACCCTTAATTCATCTTGGAATTGGAATGCATTCTGCTGTCGTGCACAACTAGGTAGAATAAATTTTTTAAAAAGTTTTAAACGTCTTGCTTGAAAATGTGTCTACACACACATAATTTAGAGTTCAATGTGTGTTTACCCACAATTTGGTTTACAAATTAGCACAAAAGAAATGTAATTAAAAAAAAACTGTCAGCAATTCTTGTATCATATAACTTGAATAGCATTTGGCCCACTGCATCTTAATTAAATCTTACACTCCAAGAGTTTCTCTTAGCATCATAAACCCAAAACCTGTCATCCAAATATTTATCCATTCTTTCTGGCTTACTGATGTTCCCTTTTGTGCTTTTACTTTAAAATAGTTTACCCCTGCAAACTACCTACCTTTCACTTATCCCCAAGGCTGTAAATTTCTCTCTCTATCCATAGAATTCCTTCCTTTAATATCCATCTTAAAACTGTACTTCTCAAAAGAAGTTTTCTCTTATTACATAAGCACAGTTCACAAAGTTGCATTTTTCTTCATCTGACGGTCACAGTCCTATTGTGATATTACCAGTATTAATAATCCCGGGAGTCTGGAATATGGGGTGGGACAGATAACCTGGCCTGGATGCTATTTGGTTTTATTTTATCTGTGTAGTAGGTTTCTGGGGGACGTGATGTGCAGACCCCATTCTTAGTCTTAGTGCTATAGAGGACATTTTAAAAGACAACAGTAAAAAGACTTCAAATGAATGGATACATCGTCATCTCCCCATCTCTAACTTATT